CATGAAATGAAACTGGACCCTAAGATTTCCTTGGGGTAAGGGGAAGGGGCTTCTTTCCTGCTGGGAATGAAAATGCGGTTGTTCTGTAGAGATTCTGAACAAAGACGTGGCAGAATACCTAGACACAACCTAAGTCACCCAGTAGGACCCTGTAAATCTTAGCTAATTGTATTTCACAGCCATGGGCTAAATGGTGAGTGGCAGAGACTGTGTCAGCCAAAGCTGGCTCAAAGCTGCTCAGCAAGGCTGGCAAACTTGGATGAGGGTTTGGGGCGAGGTAGCAGCCCAGCCCTGCAGCCCATAGAAGGTGGTGGAGGGCAATGGAGCAGAGCTGGCTTCTGTCCCCAAGGGGTGTCTCCAACACAACATTGTGGAGTTGTTTCTTTGGTGGCAGCAGCACAACCCTGTATATCCAAATACCTGCTCTAGGGTAATCCAGGTACTGTCAAGGATCGGTTCCAATGACCATGGGTTTGCAAGTGTGGTGCCACAGGTTGCCTTTTCTGTCCATGCCAGGAAGTGACCTGATGGCCAAAGCCTTAGAAATACAGAGACAATCATCCTACATCAACCATGCCTTAACTCTGACCTGGGCCAAGAGCAGATATTTCTAAGGAGCTAAGAGATCATAGCATGAGCAATACAGAAGAGTCTGCCCATTGTGATTGGAGTGGGAAATAATGATCTTTAATTTGCAATAGTAAGCCATAGTATGACTTGGGTTGGAAGGGACCTTAAAGATAACTAATTCCAAACCCCCTGCCCCACTAGATCAAGTTACTCAGGACTTCATCAGTTGTCATGATTTCCATCTCAAAAAAATCAGTTCTGGTTTTGTTTAATTAAAAAAAAAAAAAAAAAAAGTAGTGTATAAAAGACCACAGTTGATTGACTGTGAGCTGAGGATGTTTCCAGCAGAACAAAACACCACCATTAGCATGGCTTCTCCCTGGATGCTCTGCAGTTTTAGAGGTTTGACAATATTGCATTCAGAGGCATGGCAACACGGATTTAGGTAAGAAAAAATGTAGTTTAATAACATTTCAAATAATTTGTTTGCCCTGCAGCATATATAACTACTACAGATAATAACATATCAAAAATAGAAAAATATGAGAATAGATAGATTTATTCTCTTTTGCATATTCTACGACTTTTTATGAAAAACAGAACCTTTAAAATAGAAAATTGCAAAGTTCTGAGGCATCAGATCCACACAACCTGATCTTGCATGAAATTATGCTGTTGTTCAAGTGTTAATACCCTCATAAAAAATCACTCTATGATAAAGGTATCTGTTTAAAATTGACATGTGTTCAGAGTAAGGCCAGATTACTCTACACTGAAAATCAGCCAAGGAGATGGTAGAACAGCTCTTTTCACAGGTAAGGAATCATAATTGTAAAACATAAAGATTAATTGCTTAAGACATACCCAGTATATCCATACATATCAGCCTATTTACAGTATATCTTCATAGCAAATCCTCCATTTCAAGTGCCAGAACGAGAAACAGAGATCAAATCTGTGCTTTAATTTGTTTTGGGTTTGTAATGTCAATTTTCTATTGATTTTAATTACATGTCATTGAATTGTGTGTTGCAAATCTCTCCCTGTGGTTGCGGGAAGGGCACAAGGCATTCTTTTAGGAGGATTGTACTCTACCACAACTGTTCTCCATATCCACTTCTGCCTGCACGTGCCTCTTTTCCCTGTGCAGTTCCTACACTGTGTGATGTGGTACTGTGGTCACCCTTTGTTAAGCAAAGGCATTACAAATATGACCTGTATGTTGGCATCTACATGGGTTTGAGGCAAATGGAAATATCGTTGACAGGGCACACATAGGAGTTTCTTTTTAATCATGCCAGGGAAAACCACTCATTTTAATGAGGAATGTGCACTTTATTTTACCCTATACCAGGCATCAAAGAGGAAGCCTCCATGAGCATGTCAAGCACAGGAAGTAATTGGGTTTAGAGCAGTGTGTGGAAACTGCCTCAGCAAAATTTTCTTAGTCTTGATGATGACTTCTTGCTATTGCCGGTGTCTCTGGAGAGTATATAATTTTCTATTTTTGCATGCAAAGATGAGGAAAAAGTGATTGGAGACTTTAAAAGAAGGGACTAACAGTTAATGCCTGTATTCAATGAATTCTCAGTTATTCAGAGCTGGGAGGTAGATCCAAAGCACAAAGACTACTTCCTGCATGCATCCATTTTTTCCATAATGCTCTAGGAGAAGCAAACCAGAGATTAATGGAAAGTTTACACTGCCTCACTTTTTTCAACATTGGCCAACTTGACAGAGATGGCCTGTTTCTGAAAGGAAACTAATTTCTTCATCATTAGCTGAAAAATCACTGCAGTGTCTCCTTCTTATGTAACAACTGTACTCTGGTGACTCCCTGGGTAACCTGAAAAATAATTTGTTAAGGAAAATCTATGCAGAGAACAATCAGTTCAATTTACTAATTTTTACTTAGTCTTTATTTTGAAAACTCACAGAAGTTACTGAATTCCCATATGGTCCTTTTCCTGGCAGTATGTTGGTGATCCTGTGTCTTTGTTGGCTCTGATCAACACATGAAGCAGCAATGTCCATTCTTTCAGCAGTGATCCAGAAGTGAGAAAGCCCTGCAGAAGCCACTACGTTCTCCTAAAATCTTTCAGCAGCTGAATATTTTTTAAAAATCACAGGTGTCTAAACGAAGATTTCACATATAATGAAGTGGCTATGCTCCATGAACTTGGAAGGCAGTGGCTGCTTGGAAGCAAGATATTCTTAGGACCTGATTTACAGATAACCCAGGTATGGAAAACATGAGTCTATTGAGCATCTAACTTTAATGTGACTCCAAATGCTGATTTGTGTCCATGGGTACCTTACTCTGCACCTGATAGCATTCTGAGGCTGTGTATGAATTTTGAGCAAAGTCATGCATCTGCAGACAAGTCTTTAACATGTTTACTATTCATTACTATGATTAACATGTTTCAGCTAACATGATGGAGTTTTGCCTCAGATATCCTTGTTGCTGTTTTGGATGTTTTAAAGCTCACTGTTAAATCTTAAAAACCAAAAAACCCCACACTGAGTGAAACTGCTCAGCTCTCTGACTTAGGGAGAGAGAGTCTGATTTACACCAGCTGAGAATCTGATTGTTGCTTTTGAGCTATCGTAATTGCTTAAGTGAAACAGACAAAGTAATTGGTGCAAACTAATAGAACTGATGGAAAAAGATTCAGTGTTTGTCAATACCAACTATGCTATGGAGAACCTGATCAATGAATTAGTCTATCAATTAATTAGCCTAGGCAGAAAATGACTCCCTGTACTGTTAGTCCATGAAAAGATCAATAAAGTCAAATGTCTAATTTAGTGTTTCTCACGTAATGATTATATTAGGAGAAGAAGAATTTAAAAAGTATTTATATACTGTTTCAATTACAGTTCTCAAGTGCTCCATTAACAATAATATACCCAGATAGTCCTGTTAGAAAGATTAAAAGCACAAATTTCAGGATATTAATGCTGTAATGTTGTTTATCCTCCTGTCTGTTTATGCGGCATCTTCAAGGGACTGATATTCTTACAAAGAAATGGTAGAGTGGTACCATGATCCCACTATGTTGAGCAACCATTTTGTCAGTTCCATGTGGGAAATTGTGGCAAGAACATCTGGCTTTTAGGGCAAATCCTTCATTTTGGCAGGCCCTAGACTGAGCCACCTCTCTGGGATGACTTTGGGAGTTCACAGCTGTTGTGTCATCATCAGAAACACACAGGGCAGAAAACTGAGAACTCAACCTTTTTCTGTTTTAATTGGCTGCAGTCTTATTATGTCTGCTAAGTGTGGCCTGGTCACTCACACTTTGAATTTTGCATATTTATAATTGACTTTACAGCAAAAATAGGCAAATACATCTTCTGTTACAATCTGGTAAAGTCCCTAATTATGAAGTCTTTAAAGTCTGGCTGTTTGCCCTGTAGTACAAAAGAGAAGCAGCCATTCTTGCTATCATGCACACAAATTTGATGGCTATGAATTTTAAAAGTATGCTTTGCACTACAGGAAAAAAAAAAAGAGTTTTAGATATCTTTGTATAAAATGCAAGAAGTGATAATCATGTGGAAACTGAAGTAACTGCCTATTAGTCAGGCTTGGAGGCTGATGAAAGCAGATTTTGTGAAGGGGCACCAAAAAAATCCAGATTACCTGAAAATAAGATTTTACTGAAAGGAAAAATACGTTGCAGTAATCCTGTGATAATCTGCTGTGATGAATAATAAACATACAGCAAATATCAAAATAAGGCTATCTACAGTCAGTGAATAATTACTGCTTTGAGATGATCTAGGCTTTGGTGAACATGTAGATTACTTTTAATGTTGAAAATAACCTTTTACCTTTTTCAGTCTGTTTCCAGTCTACAATGTTATCTTTAAAAGCTTAGTCTTTTGCAGAACAATGATGTGTTACTTCATGTTTCATATTCAAGTATCAAATTTTCTATTAAAAATAGATTCAATTTTAAGTAACTAGTGATGAAATGTTCAATATGAGTTAGCTGGATGAAAAATTAATGTTGGCAGTACTCCTGTTTTGCAAGGATTAGCTGAACTGGCCAGAGTAAAATTTAAATGTGTCTGCTTTTTCAGTTTCAGCATATTCTGCCTAAAACTTGCACTTTGTAAAGGCTTTAAGGTATCAAAAATAAAATAATGCGCACTTCAGTGTAGGGAATGGTCACTTCCAAGCTGTTGCACAACGAGTCATAGGAGTACTGTGCCCACCCCACTCTGTGTTCTCCAGAATGCCTAATTTTGAGACAGGCTCCCATGCATATTGTCATTGTGCAAACGTGGGGGTGTGTTACCTCTTTGCAGAAGATGCCTGAAGCCTCTCAGCAGATGAAGAATTGATGAAGAGGGAGTAAATATATTTAACCTATTTTTATATGGAAAACTCTTCTGGAGCAAAGGAGGTACAGACAGAATTTCTTCCAAAATTCACAACATAGTGCTAGTGGTGAGTTCCTAAAATACAACATTTTTTTCCAGGACTGACTGAGTCAGAATAGGGCAGTAAACTTCTGCTTACCTGGCTCACTTCCCTGATAAACGTCCCTAAAAGGGCTTTTCCCAATCCACACCCAACAGAGCATGGCATGCATTTCCTTACAGTGAATATCTGCAGGTTAAGAAAAACCCTTGATGGGCTTACATAGCCTCAATATCCCACAACAGTTCCTATAGCAATATATTAAGGCTGGAACTTTTTTTGGAGTGTGAAAGAGTTGGCTCCTTTGCACAACATTGCCAGCAGGACATTTTTAATGCATATGTGGCAGAGGTGCAGGTTTAGGGATCATTCTCTTATAATGGCCCTTTGTGAGGGTAACCCATATTTATTGCTGCCAAATCCTTAATTCACAGTGTCACTAATCCTGATGTGGATTACCTGGGTAAAATTTTAAGTGGTATTGAAGCCCCTGATGAGAGGACTACATTTTCTTAACAACCAACACACTGTAATGCAGATATAGACAGACAAAGTACAGATACTTCATTTATCATTTCTGCAGCTGCTGGTAGGTAACAGCAATCTTTACATAGATGCTTCTGGAGACACCAACTTGCACGTGGAAAGATAAGAGCCTATTTTTAAAAAAAATTATCAGCAATCAGGTGAGAGAGAGATGATGGGGTTTTTGTGTGAATCAGGGTAAGAATCCAACTACATATGCCTAAAACCAGCCAGGAGGGCAGGCAATCTGGCTGCAATCCCTGGTCACCCCCAGCACATGCACACATCTATCTGGCTTTTCACAAGAAAGGGATCTCATATCTAAGTAAAGAGATACCTTGAGAACTCATGCAGCACATTAACAGAAATCTAGTTTTCTCTATTAGTGGTCTTTTGCTTGGGTCTGGGACTTCCACTGCATAAAACAGTAGAATGCTCCTTCACCAGATCTGAGCAATCCCAGAGGTGCTTTAAGTAGCAATGCAAAGGAGTTCAGCTTCTCCAGGCTTTGATATTTAAAGCAGCCTGTGGCACTGCAGAGCTGGCAGCAGTGGGAAGGTGCATGTGATGCAAACAGTGGAAAACGTGGGTCCAGCTCCTTTCCTGCTCAGGAAGACTCACTGGTGTCACTGTCATGAGTTTGCACTGCAAGGAACTGGGATCCCACACTTGGTTCACCAAACCTTTCCAGTCTCTATTCATATTAAGGTAGCTCTCATGTCCCATTTATGGACAGGGAGCAGCTTGTGCTTGGCACTGACCATGAAACTCTGAGCCCCAAAGAGCTGATGGCTCTGTCTGCCAGCACACAAAGAGGGCAAGGGGACGAGGAAATGTGCTCAGCTCTGTTGGGACAAGAGAAAGCCCCAAAGCCTGCAGTCCTAAGCATGCTATCTCTCTAAACATCTGTCTCTGTTTTTGTGATAACAGGCTGAGTAGAGTTTTGTAAGGAAGAATTTGAAGATGAGTAAAGTAACTTTATTGCTGTTAATAGAGAACATTCTGCAACATGACCTACCACCTGGTAGAAACCAGAGAGTGAGTAATAATACCACAGATGGAGCAATCCTCTTGGTATTTATGATTTGGTTGGTTGGGTGGGTTTGGGTTGGTTTTTTTTTCTGGGGGTGGGGGGGAGAGTTTTAATTCTTCTGTTTAAATTTAAAAGGGTTTAGAGAGTACAAAAGTCAGCAAGTACAGTTCTGTGTTCTTTTTCCTTAGATAATGCATTCATTCCAGCTAAATATGGGGACAAATGCCTGGGGCTATTGTTCAATCTCACGTAATATTGTTACAATAAGGAATTAGAAAAAAAAAATATGACAAAAGCATAGGCAGGCTATGGGTCATGCTATCTTTGGACTCCAGGATCTTTTTGAAAAATACGTGATGGCCTGTAGGGTCCCATGTGCTTACCCCAGGTGGCACCAAGCCCCATGGGCTCTGCAGCCAGGTCTCCACCAGTGGGGGATCTCCATGCATTTGCATCCCCATGGAAGCTGGCAAGGAGGCAGAGCCAGCTGCTGTGAGCAGTGCCCTGGTGCCTGTGCCTGGCCGTGCCCGTCTGGCCCAGCAGGAGCAGGGGGGAATGATGCCTTCCAGATCCAACTGGGAGCAAGGAGGACTAGTGCACACCAGCTGATAGGGCTGGCACAGCTTTTCCACTAATGCTCAGTAAATCCCCAAAGGCTCTGGATGCCACTAAGCAACTGAAATTCTAGAGCTTGTCAGAGTCATCCCAATGATCCACATCTTTTGGTTCAGCAAAATGGGGCCTAGAAATGTTGTGAGAACAGGATCTCTGCACGGAGGCCCATAATTCTGCTTTCAGTCTTCTGGGGCAAGAACCAAGGTGAATAAAAATGGGAAATATTCACAGGGTGAGACATTTCTCTGTAATCACAGGACCTTTGCATAGAGTGTCGTTTTTGATGCTGAAACTGCAAAACATTTGCCTTACATTTGCCTTGGTTCTGGTTGTGTTTTTTACTGAAATATACATCAGATGTTTCCTCCACTGTACTTCTTGCAAAAATAACAAGCTCTAAAGCTTGTCCAGCATGCTTCAGCAAACCAAGCAGTAACACTCACTGCACTGGACCATGACCATATGTACATGCGGGGCTGTCTTTTTTATTTTCCATTCCCATGTTCAGACAGTGTCACAATATCTTTGATACAAATGATTTCATTGACTTAATAGTTGATTGTGTACCACAGAAGTTTGCAATAGCCTCGGAGGTCATGTTTAATGACGCTGTTTTGCAGAGCCCAGCCAGAGTCTTCCACATGCACAGCTATCCTTGTGCTTTCAGCTGTACCATAATCCTCTTCTTGCCCTAGATAGCCCACAGCCTGCTAAGGGGATGAAACCTCAGGAGGGAGTGTCCACACAACCCCAGTGGGGACAGGGATCTTTCAGCCAAGTCAGTGGGTGCTTTTGCATTGCTTTGTGCCACTGGAGCTGGTAGAGTTTTTACACTTTTTTCTTTCACCCTTTTCCCCACTCCTAGTGCTCAGATAACTCAAGCAGGATCTCATAGCTGCCACAGAAGCAATCCTCATAACCTGTCATGATAGACAAAGAGGTGAACCTACTTTGTCCAGGGGCCTACATTTCCAAATCTAATGTCTAATCTACTAAATCAGCTCCTTGGTTAGCCTACAGTTGTAGGGAAAAATAGGTGATTTAAGTGCTGATTTTTCATGTATTTCCTGCATTGAACTCTGTCTGGAGCTTGACAGTACTCACTGGGGACACACAGAAAGGAAATTACTATAACATGGAGATGCTTGCTTATAAATGGTATAAAAATTACCTGGTTAAAACTGTGTTTAGGATTTCATGCAAAAGAGTCTTGAAGAGTCAATTAGACATGCACAAACTAACGAACTGCAAAAAAAGGCTTTCCCTCCATTAAATGCCTCTCCGTAATCATCAATATTCTTAAAAAGTGTAATGATTTCTTATCAGTGCTTGAATGAACCGTAAAACTACCTTTTGAAATATTGATATTTCCACAATTTTGAGCACAAGAATGTTTTCCCTTCTATATAGAAGCTGACGGGCCATTGACTTGCAGTATATTTTATGCCTGCTGGAGAACATACTGTATAATGCAAATAGGTGCTCACTTTGTAGCCTACATTTTTCCCTAACAGGTGTATGAGGCTCCTTTGTTTCACATGCTTTAGCTTTTGATTTAAGGCTTAATCAAGGCATTCTCTGCATGGGGTGTTTTGTATGAATAAGGGTGATAGCTATCTTCATCTTTGAACCTGAAAGCAGAAATATTTCACAAATGGTTCATGCTCACATTTGTGAGGATGCTTTATCAACATCAGATCTAAGGGATTATCTTCATCTGGGCAAATCATGGCAGCTCAGTTAGTGTCAATGAGCTGCAGTGATTTTTGTAGTCGAGTTTCTGGCCCTGCAACACTCGGGGTCACAAAGGAAACAACAGCTACAGATGAGATATGTGAGTTATACTGAGCTGTCTTCTGCTACATTGGATTATAAGCACATTTGATTTCAGAACTAATGTCTACAGTTAAGTGTCCAGTTAAAGAAAAGTTAGTGGGACATTATTTTCTTCAGAAAATGCACTTCCATGGTCTCTGAAACTGCAGAATGCCCAGCTGACTTCTCCAACAACCCATATCAGTCAGAAAGAAATACAGAGCTGACAGAAATTCAGAAAGAAATATAGAGGTGGCAGATTGATAGCTATGATATATAGTATTTCAATTTTTGCTTTACAAAGCACTCATGTGTGGTTTATTTAATGCCATGTTATATTCTAGATGAGAAAACAATTTAAGCGTGTAAGATGTCAAAAGAAAGCATTAAGTGATTTGAGATTTCTTTTAATTTCAAAGAAAAATTTACTTTTAATTTGGAAGGAAAGTAGATTATGAACCCTCCAAGTCCTGCAAACAGCAGATTTATCCCTCTCCAGCCTGCTCTGCTAATGATACCAAGTTGTCTCCCTGTGTGTTTTGGGTTGCTTGTTTGTTTTAAGGAAGAAAGCATAAGTAACATCTCCAATTACTAAAAATCCATAACAATGGAAGCAAAGAAAATGATGATCTGTGCCAGGAGCCATCCCTCCCTGGTGTCTCAGTGCACCCTGTGCGTGCCCATGCCCTGGGGGTTCTGCCTCCATGCTGGGTGTGCCTGCCCCTGTGCCACAGCCCATGCGCTCCTGGCAGCTGCTGCTGCAGCTCCTGCAGAATGAGTAACCCAGAGGATTGGATTTAAAGTTACTCTTTGCTTTGTGCTCTGGCACAATGCTGTACCTCACCCCATGGTAAGCCTCTCAGGGCTGCAGTAGTTTCTGCTGTTGCCACCTTTACTGAACTTGCCCTGATATTTAAAATATATTTGAGGAAATCAGCTAATGCAGGAACATCCGTGTTTCTTACCCCAGTCTGGACTCAGGAAATCTGCCAGTTGCCTAGAATACTCATTTAATTGTAGATATACCTTTATCTCTAGTATGCCTTATAACTACATGACAGGAAAATGCAAATCCTTCACTATGCTACAATTTAACAGCAGGACTCACTGAAGCCTTACAATATTTATTAGATCTTCTATTTATTGTCAGTTGCCTCCTTTTAAGTATGGCATGGACACACACAGACTCCTACATTGTATTTTACTTATATCAGTAGGTGTGGATCATTTTCCAAAACTAGTAAAAAGGATTTTAAAAGGTGTCTGTCATCTGCAAAGCTTTTTATTATCCAGTGTCAGCCACTGGAAATTATGTACAAACTAAAGCAAATGGAACAAAAGTTAATTATCTAGTATGGCTATTGTTATTATGTAGAGGAGCCAGCCCCTATTGATTAATGAGTCAGTGTTATGTTTGCTCACAGGAATATTAATATCTTGTGCACAAGAGAAGTCATTAAAATGAGCAAGGAAGACCTTGACTTTAAACTTAAAGTGCACATTGCTCTAGTTATGTGAATCATTTTGTCAGGTATAGCATCATAGTCATAAATTATTGAAACACGTAGTTATTGTAAAGATAATTCACATAGCCTGTTTGAAATCAAACAAGTCGATACTCTTCCCATTATGTTCTTCACTGTTACAATTAGGAGACTTCAGGTGGACAAAAGAAGATTTAGGAGATAGGATAAGACTGGTGTGTGAGCCTTTGCCTCACCTAACCCCTCACAGCATGAGAAAACTGAATAATGCTGTGTCCATACTGAGCTGATGGAAAGCGTGGGATGGGTCAAGAGAGAAATCTCATAAAGTGACTGCAGAGCACTCCAGATGGCCCAACAATAATTAGCAAGTAGGTATTAGGGTATATTTCAGAGTCCAGGTCCATCACATTCCCTCTTCAAATATTCCCAAAGCTACCAAGTTATGCACTGAAAAACCTACACTGCTATTTTTTGAAAATGTCTGTTATGGCATTATGAACATAATAACTGTTTACTGGAAATACAACTGAACCTGCTTTTGCATCATGCTAAGACCTCAAGCTTAAAAATCAAAATGGATCTCCAAAGTTGAGGCCCAAGATTCATTTGCTAATGATATGTTACATCACTATGACAGAGCAGAGGGACATTTAGCTGAGAGTATATTTTATTGTATGCAATTTACATGCTATTATTGAGAGCAAGCCAAAAGCAGTCTTGGTACAAATGAGAATTTGGTGTCATGTAATTTCAAAAGAGAAAATATCAAAAGGGAATATAATTTAATTTTATTAATGTATAAGTAGAGCTAGGAAAAAAATGAAAACTAAAATATTGGAAATATTAAGCATTATTTTGAGGATTTTTTGTAGGTATGTTGCAGGCAGTTCTCATTTCTGTAAAATGAAGGCATAAGTTTGAATCTACACATTGTGTTTCCTTAACTTCAATGCATTACTCATGTACTTCATGGTGAGCATATGTTGGGGTCTTGGCAGAAAGTATTGATCCATCCAGAATTAGAACCCTATCTTTGAAAAAATGGATCTGTGGGACCAAACCTGTATGAACTTTCCTGTGAGCCTCCACCAATCCCAGTGAGCACCAAGCCTCTCTCTTTCATCAACATAACTCATTTCCACGACCAGCTGTTACCTTGTTTGGCTTGTTGTGACAGCAGAACAAGGGACTAATCTCCAGAAGCAGCTGATCAATAAGAAACTGTCTAAAGGAGAAGAACAGAAGCAGCCAGTGGTCTGGAAAACATAATCTACTTGGGAGGATTGAATGAGTGGTATAATTTGACCCAGAGAAAGTAACTAAGAAGGTGTAACAGACTTCAACAAATATGCAAACATTTATGGGAAGAAAAGAGGAAATTATTGTGCTGTGTGTTCAACCCCATTATTGTGCTGTTCTCAAGGGTGGACAGATCAAAGTGTAATCCATTTAAACTGTAGCAAGGAAGATGTCAATTAAGAATGCTTGGAGGTAGACTGCATGGTGAGGCTGAGGCGATTCATCCTCTGTTTCCTTTTGTGTTCCACAGTTTTAAAGCTTTTTCTTCATGCTGGTCCTGCAACAGAAGATGAGAATGGGTTGTAGGAGGAATATAGGCTGTCTAGAGAGTTGCAAGGTGCAGGGAATTTGGCCTCTTCATCCACTTCCCTCTCTGTTCTGGCAACCTCTTTAGCAGGGCCTGAGGCAATGTACAGCATTGCTCTTGCTGTGCCACGAGTCTGGATGTGGCTGAGCCAGAGAGCCTTGCAGGATACAAGAATTCAGCAGGGAGACACACAGGGCAGAGCAGGAATGATTTTTTTAACTGGAACCTCAGCCAAATGTCAACAGAATTTCGGGTAAGGCAGCAAAGCTGCTTCTGGCCAAGAGGATACCTCTCAGTGCAAGAGAATTCCCAGATGCAAACACAGGGAAGATGAGAATATCTCAAAGTAAAAGTTACAGAAATCCTCCATAATGGAGCCTAAATCCAGAGTATTGTACTCCTTCTGTTCTGGATCATGCCAGCATGGAGAGTTAGTGCTTCATCCTGAGTCCTGGCTGTGTGACCAGGTGTGTGTGTACCCAGCACCCACGAGAATTCTGCTGCTCCTGGGCCCCAGGACAGGCGTCAGGATGGGCTGGGCTGGCACAGAGTTCACTGAAGGAGTCAGGAGTCTCAAGAGACAAAGTCTGCTCTTAATTAGTGTGACCCACCTTACTGACCTCAATTTGTCCTAGCATTTCCCTGGCTGTTGATGAGCCACTGTCCAAAGAATTGTAAAACAAATGTTTCAGTGTCAGTCAGAGTGCCATATAATATGACAGCATCTCAGAGGATACCTTTAATATTCTCGAAATATGTTATAGATACAATTTTTGTAATCTAATAAATATTTTGAGTTGAATTAAGTCTGGCTGTAGCTTTTTTAGTCATGGGTGGGTTTTTGTTCTCACTCTGCTAACTTGCAAGGAGTAAAAGAAATCAAAACAGATCTAATAGTTTCAATTAAACATCTTATTTTTTTGCATTTAAAAAAAATCTATCAAATTTGCACTTAAATGTTTTAAGGTTAATAGATTACCTCTGAACCCCAAGGAAATCAAGGCTTCTTGTGCCTGCCTGTCATTTACTGGAGTGGTTACTTATCTGTCAATATTTCTTGCTTTTTTTTCAAGTCCCAGGCCTACTTGATCTTGTCCATTTGGCACTGCTGGAGGAATAACAAGTTTCTTCCCATCATGCATCTTTCTGGGATACATCATGACAGAGAAATCTCAAAGCCCAGGTCAATTATAACAGAAGATGTGTAGCACCTCTGCCCCCACAGCGTCTTCTGGGGATCCACTTGGCAAAATGATATAAAACTAGTTTTGAAGACTTCCCATGATCTGGCACTACTTAGAACTAAGTTACTGGCAAAATGTAAGGAAATATGCAAATACAGCTCAGCTCCTCTGCCTCTGTTTGCCAAGGAGCCAACTAACATCATGTGTGAGGAGGGGCTGAGGCTGGCAGAGCCCTCACCAAAAGGTAATTACTTTTTAATTAGAATTTGTTGAATAAGAGATAGATACCTTCCATACTTTCTCCCACTGATGATTTTAATATTCCTCTGTCAGGTATTATGAGGCAGTAGCTGACAGTGAGTTACATGAAGTAATCCTGTAGCTGGTAGCAACTTGCATAAAGTAACCAACTTAACCATTTGTCTTGGGTAAAATATGGTCCCTGTCCTCACTTTTTTCCATGGAGCCTGTCACTGGCGTGTTGATGTAGTGTTTGTTTACTCTCATTCCTGCAGGAGGAAATATCATAGTTCATGTATCAAATTACTGTAACCAACTGGAGCATTTCTATTTAAAATAATGTATCATGATATATTCTCATAATGCTGTTGATGTATTTTCAGGACTTCTAATTTTTACAAGTATATTATCTGAATATCATTTATCTAAGTGTGCAGTTGTAAAATCTGTGGTAATATCTGATCTCATTATAAAAATCAGCACCTAAGAATGGACTAGAGTAACTAAATCTGAAGCTGACTGGATATTTGTGATATTTTGATAGAAATAAGAAAGAATTTCAGGTTTTTTCTTTTTTGCTGCAGGGCCTCTAAACACAATCTGACATGTGATGTATTTTTGAAGTCAAAGTTAATAATTCTCTTTATATAAAAATAAATACCCCCTATTGAATACTCGCTCTAAAATTAGAATTGCATATTTCTAAGTAATATACCTAAGGAAAGTGATTTATCCTAATGCAATAATGGCATAGATTTACAAAGCTTGAGTGATACAATGTTTCTCGTTATGGTTGTAAAATATTTGTTGCCACTGTGGGATTTTCTAGATCATTATTTTAAAAAAGGAAAAACCTACTTTGACAGATGAACTGGGGCCATTCTGAGCAAATCACAGATACTTCATATAACAAGGCCTCCAAAGAGGGGAGCACAGACTTATTACTATGGCAACCCAGATCAAAACACTATTTTAGTGGAGAGTTTCCAGTTTTACAATGCAATGATGATTGTTTATAGTACTATTGAAACCAGATTCTGCAAAGGTTCAAGAAATGAGCTGACAAGAGGAAAATCATTATAGATAAACTGGGGATACGTGAATGACATATTGTGGAATCTGCTATTATTTGATCAAGTGATGAAATTGTGGCACAAACATGGATAAATAATGGTAGATGATACAGTCTGATGGACCCTATTTTGTTGGTTGTGTTTTATTGTGTATCTGGAAGATAATTATTGGTTCAATGCTGCAAAACACAAAAGCAGATTTAATAATAGAAATTACTGAACTTTGAAAAAAAACTATTAATTCTCCCTAGAATTTATAACATTTAAATTTTGAAATGCTTTCATTCCCAAGTCATTGAGTAACACCTGCATAATAACAAACACCACCAACACCTGGTGGTGGGGTGCTTTTTACTGGAAGTCCATTATGGGCTGGAATAATGTGTGCTTAATCCTCTATCAGCTAATCAGTGCTTAGAACTGTTAGTCCTACAGCAGTGAACCTCTTCAAACCTGTCTCATATCTGCAGCAGCAAAACAAGTTGATTTTTTCCCCTGGTGGCCGTAGCCTAGGAGCAGCTCTGGGCACCCTCCAGCTGGTTTCTGCCTTGTGTCTGCTGGCTCAGAGAAGGGAGGTGGTTGTCACCCTCCTTCCATGCTGGAATGGTTTCAGTGTAAGGGCCACGGGAGCCTGGGGACAGTGATCTGTTTTCTGCTTAGGGTTATTTCTCAACACAAGAGACATGGTGAGCTTACTTGTTTTGGCTTCTTTCCAAGTTCATGCCATCCTTCACCTCAAGATCTTCAGAAAATCTTGATCACCCTCACCAAACTTATTGCTAGCCCCACTTCTCAGCTTTATCACATTTATGCTCAAAATCTTGAGTTCACCTGTCCGTGTAACTGGGCCCCATGGAAAAGGTCTCCACTCCCTCAGCATGGACAGAGAAAGCTCCTGGTGACTTCTTTAGGGGCTAGAGAAGCAGCTCCTGTGCAGGCAGAGAAGTTCACAGCCTGAGAAATAAAGCTGGAAAGAAGAAAGGTGAATGAAGACCGATCACAGCAAAATTTCTATACCGTAACAGTTCTGATCATTCCTGAGCACGTCTCGGCACAGGTGCTTCCCTCTGCAGGATGAAACTTGCTTCCTGCTTTGATGTTTCTCTCTGTGGGACTGTCTGAGGGGACAGGTCTGAGAACAGCAGGGCCCCAGGACCTCCTGAGATGTGTTCTTACCTCTCCATCCCCAGAATTGTTTTCTTATGGGATCCTCAAGGTGAAAGTGTCTGTAAGCTCAGGGCAGTTTTGTTCCCTGAAAGAAAGAAGAGGTTTACTTCAGGAGCCCTTAATCATTGACTGAAAACACAAAGTGGATGAAATGTTCGCAGAAGGATGATTTACTATGTAGTTTGTATATTATTGTGGATGGAGAGGCTTTAGTTCTTCATGGAGGTTTGAAGCAAAATTTTGCCTTACATTTGGTATTTCAGATGATGCAGGGAAAACATTTTCTGGTATAGTCATACTTGGACCAGAATACAAAACACATCCTTTAGTAAACTGTGAAGCTTTAAGTTGTTCAAATGACACTTACCCAGCAAATAATTTTGAACTTGGGAGCATTAGAGAGGTCATATTTTTACACGCCTGATCTGCTGCTGAGCAATCTTTTTTAGCCATTAAGAACACCCAGCCTGTTTTCGACACCAGATACTATGCCTCATCCCTGAATTATATTTTCTTGAGTTTATGATGACCCTTTCAAGGAAAATTAAGCCACTCCATTAACTCTGAGACCAGAGCACCCTTCAAAAATTTAATCCAGTAGAGCAGTTGATGGTATTTATTGCTCTTCCCTAATGCACTTGTATTTTCTCTGTCGTGCAAGGACTATTCAGACATCATCATACAAGTATCAGGAGTGTCTCAGCTCCTGAGAGAGGCCACTGGCTCCACCCATTGAACAATTATAATCTAATATTGTTCCTGGAATACAGATTGAGTCACCACATAAGTAAAAGGAAGCGGTGAGTGCTTTCCACTGACTCCAGTATGTTCATACACTCCAGCCTTTTCCATCTAACCTCACAAACATCTGTCTTCAGCCAAGAAACAGCAACAAGGATGTCAACAGCTGTTCTGTTCAGCCAAGTACAGTGCTGATGTTAAAGTTTTCCGAGATCACTGATGTCCTACATTATTAATCAAGGGCCTCAGAAATAATTCTGCTGACAGACTACTTATGAAATATGTCTCCTGACTTCAAAGTGTGGTCAGCTCCCTGTCATATAGCATGGAGCACAGATGAAGGCTGCAGGGCTGAGATTCAACTGGTGAGAACTGTTTTAGTCACCTGGAGGTCTTAAGAAGCATCCAACAGAAATGGCTGAGGTAGCCACAGCTCTCTCTTCTTCCCTTGCAGTTTTTTGGCCGAGTTACCTTTATTCTGGAATGTCTCCATTAAGGCAAATCTCCAGCATTCATGTAACAATAATGGCAAAGAATATTTCTTGCCTTGTTTCCCAATACTAACTTCTGTTTATCCAGCTTACCTGGTTGCCCTGCATGGTGGATGCCCTGTGTGGCCAGTGGTAGACAACATCTGAAGAATATAATCACTTGTTTCCTCAATATTTCTGATTGTCCTTCCAACACAGAGGACAGCAGAGAGATGATTTCTATCTTCCTGTGACATTTCATGGTGACCAAGATAACCAAGACAGTAAAGACAACAATCTTCTCATTTAATAAAGTGGTGTACACCAGCACAGACTCTTTTTTTTTGCCTTAGGCCCTATCCATTTGGACACTTACTTACATTCTCTTGGTCTTCAAGCTCTCTATCAGGTCATTGTATGAGGCCTCTGGTGGATGTGGGATGGAAAATAACCTGAGACTGAATTTTTCAAAATCAGTTTAAAAATCTGAGAATATGAAGTGAGCACATCATTTTGATATTAAATAGAAACAAATTTCAAGGGGAAAAACCCCATCTAACACCCTAGAGATGAGCATTGCATGAAACCTCTCACAGACTGGGCAAATCAGGAATAAGAAAATTTTGAGTATGAAAATAAGTCCAGGAGAGAGAAACAGAACAACCTGCTGGCTCAGAAATTTCTCTGTTCTCCTCTCGGTCATTTTCTGCAGCTCAAGCTCTCAACAACTATCAGTCAAAATTTAGCATTGTATCTTCAGTCCACAGAGAAAGTAAGACCTTTGTTAAACAGCAGCTTCCTCATACAAAATGTCTCATAAATTTGAAATGCAGAATGGCTCCTACATTTCAGAGGGCTGCCAAGTGAAGATGCCTTTGTGAGGCACAGCAGTGGCTCTGGGGAGGATTGTGTCCAAGGAAGTAAACAGCCAGGCTTGGGTGGGTTTCTGCTCTCCATCACTCTCATATATGTTAAGAAATAATTGCATAACCTGATCATCTCTATGCTTAGAAGTCAGCACAGCTTTATTCCTAACCAGATCCCCTGCCACAGGATAAATCCTCTCCATCTAGCTCATCTATCAGCTTTGTGTAAGTGCTCCATCCAGTTCTCTGTACTGTTTTTATCAACAAGCACTGTCGGGTTAAAAAGTGGATGACTTACCTCCCCAAGCGATCTGAAGAATTCAGTGCCACAGAAACATGCTTAATGCTGGATAACCATGCACCTTTCCCAAGTGAATTTTTAATGGCTGGGGCTGCCTTGCATAGTCTGCCGAGCAGAAGGAGCTGTGATTAAGCCCCACACTCCGTGATTTCCATCCAAAATTTTCCGCT